AATCCAAATTTCTTATAATCTACTTGCTACAAAAAGTAGGCTTTAAGGTCAAACAACTTTACAAACTCTTAGTTGTATTTAATTATCTATTCCTGTAAAGCACAAAGACGAAGTTAAACATTGACTTCATTGTATCCCTAAGATTATTTACATAATTCCTCTTTTGCATACCGAGTGGTAAGGGTGAAACAAGTCTTAAAGATAATGTTTATTGAAAGGTTAGCTTTCAAGTCAATTTTGTCGGTTCCTTGAATTCCATCTAAACCCATTTGCACCAACAATTAATACATCATTTAGAAAGAAGTTTTGTAAAAATAATAGAGATTTATATTTGATACATTGTCAATGACTATAAATTTTGTGAAAAGTAATAGAGATTTGTATTTAATACATTGTCCATGAATACAAATTTCCTTTTTCATTTTCTAACAAAGATTAATCAAATTTATAATTACAATTAGGAAAAACTAAAAATTACTTTAAAAGTTTGGATAAACCGAAACTTGTCTTTCATAGATATAAAAATGTTGACAAAATTTTAGATTTAAATCCCTAAATTTCCCATCTCGAATAAACCACCAAAACAAAAAAAAGATTACTCCATTGATTCTTAGATCCCAAGCACATCAACAATCACTGCACTGTTGTAGTTGAATATAAACAAGAACAAGATGTAGCGTTTTTCCTTGATGGCTACAATTGGCAGCGTTCAAAATCATGCCATTGTTCAATCTTTTAGCAACTATGAAAATACACCTTCAGTCGTTAGCCAAGAACATAAGGCAATCTCTTCGATCCATGTTTGTATAGGTTTGAACATCCCAAAGCTCAGAGGCCTTTAACCTATTTCATAGTCCTTCCATTTCACCTTGCAATGAGATAATTTGAATTTGTAGGTTCTTTATCATGCATGGTGGCACGATGTTCCTTTCTTTTTTTTTTAAATTTTCTTATGCTTTTAAGGAAAATATAAATGATTACTATAAAATTTGACAATATTTTCTTAATTAAATTTTATAAATATTTACTTGCAAATTAGGTTTTGAATTTTTTAAAATTTGCTTAACAATGATACAATAACATATTATTCACTAATAACATATGAAATCTATACATTGATAGTGTATCAAATATTAATCCTATTTAATAAAGAAAGGATTTAAACAAACCAACTAAAAGAAATAAGAGTTGAATAAATTTATGAAGGGTGACTCTGCTCCATCCCTCGTTAAATACTTCCAAAAATATATAGCCGTTCGAATGTGTGTCTTAAGGATATTAAAGCTTTTCTTATGTTGATACTTTTTCTATTTGCTTTTTGTTATTAGTTTTTTACTTTTAAAACAAATTACTAGAAAATAAAAGAAAAGGAAAAAATAATGCAATACTTGATGTAAAATACAAAAATAATTAAAACTGAATATCAATTATTACATAATACGTCTATATACATGTAAAATCAAGCATTTTGTTTTCTAATAATTAAACTACATATTTCTATGTATAATATCAGAAAATGAATAAAAATTATGATTTAAAATACGAGGAAAGATATTCAAACTCGGATTCAAAATATAGAATAAGCTAGTATTAGCTCAATGTTGTTTGTTATAATAACAAAACATTTTTATCTAAAGCATTCTTTTCTTGTAGTCCAACATGCGGTTTGGAGTGTACAAAAAAAAATTTAGTCATTGGTAAATTTGGTCTCAAAAAAGATTGGTTTGAGATAGTAAAGAACAAACATTAAATTAGAATATATCATGTCATCATTTCACATAATTAGTCTATACCACGTCATCATTTCGTAGACTTGTCACTTGATACAAAATGATAATATTTAACGTCAGAAAAAAGTTCCATTAATGTTTAACGGTTTAATAGGAGTACTAAACTTGAATTATCATATAATGGAAATTGACCTTGATTGCAAGAAATGATATGTGTGCAACTCTTTAAATAAAATGATGCATACATGTTGAGAAGATTTTTTTTTTAAGGGTGGGGGTGGGGAAGGGTAAATAATAATAGTATTTGTCCACATAAAGTTTTAGAAATCTAAAAACCCAGTCCATTCTCAATGCTCTTAGCCTAGTAAAAGAGTTCTATGAAAGGCGTTAGGCTCTCTTTGTTGTTCTTTTTACTTGTGGTAGGAAACAAAGGTAACCTTTAAAAAGGGTTTTCACTTTAAAATATTGTTTATTTTGATGAAACTATTGTTGAAGTGAATCAATAATAAATTATTCCTTTTAAAGGAGACTTAAATTAGGATATTGACCATACATGCAAGAGAACTGTAGACACACGATCCACATAGACAGACGTGCACAAGACAGCCTGCATGAAGGGGTCCAATAGCTGCTAAGAAGATTAATGGCCAAGTAAAATATTTTAAGGTAATTAGAATACTTTCATATTTAAGTTTTCCTTATTTGTTGATTGCTTTTCTTACATAACATGTAAGCTTAGTTTTTACGACATTTATTTTTATATCATTTACTTTACTTGCAATCTAAAGAAGTTTAGGATTAAAATACTTCCTTATTTAATTTACTTGTGTTATAAGTAGGTTTAGGATGAAGTATATCTATATATAGTCTCTTTATGTTTTATTGTAAAATCAAACAGGGTTTTTCGTGATTTATTTTTCATCAGTTGCTTCGGCATCATATGTGATTTGTTATATAGTCGATTGACCATTACAAGATGATTCTAATATTTTCTAAGGATGGTTTGATAGCAAAACCTGATGTCAATTCTGAAGATTTCCAATCTTAAATCTAGAGCAATATAGTAATAAAATCATGGCTCATCAACTAACTTTCTGAAGTGTTACAAAAAGGTGTTGCCCATGCGAAAGCCGCAATCGAAACATGGCTCGATTTAGAAGAATAATTTACTCGAGGAATTACCTTTTAAATATATGAATTGAAGTGATCCATATGGATGCAGCCAGAGTTAGAATTGTTCTTGAGACATCCAATGAGAAGCTGCCTTGCATGAACCCACAAAATCACAAAGGCAAAAGTTAGCCTTAAGGGGACATTACTTAAGGGCTCATTGACAACAAACATGGGGCCACCATCGATTGAGGGTTCTAGACACCTTGCACACTTGTATGCCCAAGATGCACCAGCAGGGGGCACCCATATGCCTTATAGCATCACATGGAATGGTATTTTTAACATGTCAGCCTAACGTGTCAAGACCGTGCATAACCAGTAATAGCACAAAAAAATTACACACTTGAGGGCCAGCGCATGCACAAGGAGTGCACATGGGCTACACATATTGAGAGCTCGTACTTTAGAAAAGTGTGAGGACATAGTTCTCATGATAGTGGGTCACCCACATCACAGCCCTATGATAGGGGGAGTTGTGCGCAACATAGTCACGTATGCTTGGAACATGCACTTACAACACACCCAGAAGGCACTGCACGATAAGAAAGAAAGCAGATGGGTTGTGCACACACTGGAGTCCAACACCAATAAGCCATGCACAGTCAACCTACACCTTAAAAGGCCACGCACATAACGAACATGCCTCAACCAGCCTCACATGGGAGTGTCGCACACATCAGGACCTCAAACCCATGAGCCGTGCACCAAAGGGTCTTGATTGAGAGACCTACACACTTGAATGCTTCACACAAGAAAGACACACCTCAATGGTCAAATTGGTTAAAATGTGATGCCTTTTTTTTGGTTATAGTGTGATGTCCTTTTATTATTGCTTCAGTTTGCAATTGGAAACTCTATTAGTTAGATGTCAACAATGCTTTTTTGCATAATGATTTTGAAGAAGAAGAGTACATGAAGATTTCTCCAGACTTTTCCAAACAAGGGGAGCACCAAGTTTGTCATCATCAGAAGTCTCCATCTAATCATTCATTATTTACATTTACTCATCGAGGATCTTTTATTGTTGTACTTATTTTAGCATAATGAGGTCTTACAAGTTGCAAACTAGCTTCCTCACCCATTGATCAAGAACTTAAACTTGATCTTGATTCAAGACAACTTTATGATGATCTTGGACAATATAATTGTCTCATTGGCAGATTATTTTATCTCCTAATCACATGTCTGGATATTAGTTGCGTAGTGCACAGATAGAATGTAGCAGCAGCTTGCACGTGTCCAAACCGTATAAGGGTTTGAGACAACCACATTTTGATGCCATCATATGAATTCTTTGATACCTTATAATTGTGCCCAAACAAGGCACTTGGTTAAAGCAGTTTCAAACTTTGTTGGGTAAGTTGGGCATGTCCAATCTTCATGCTCCAACTTGAAGGGGAGTAAAGGAGAATTAACTTATGATATGGGCCACACATGCAAGAGAGCCGTACGCACACAGTCCACACAAACAAACGCTCATAGGATAGCTTTCATGAAAGGGTCCAATAGCTACTAAGAAGAGTAGCAGTTAAGTAAAGTATTTTAAGGCAATTACAATACTTTTCATATTTAAAGTTTTCTTATTTGTTGATTGCTTTGCTTGCACAATAAGTAAGCTTAGCTTTTAGGACATTTATTTTTATATCACTTACTTTACTTGTGCTTCAAGAAAGTATAGAATTAGAATACTTCCTTATTTAATTTATTTGTGTTACAAGTACGTTTAGGATGAACTATCTCTATAAATAGTCCCGTTATGTTTTATTGTAAAATCGAACAGGGTTTTCCCTTATTCCATTGTTTTGAGACATTTTAAGACGGAGCAGAGTTTTTTTGACTTCATTTTTTTGTGGCTTTTTATTTTTCATTTTTGTCACAAGGTGAATGTTTTGTTTTCTTTTTTGGGTATGAGATGTTTAACATGAGTTGATTAATGACAATGGTGATCTTTGCTATACGTTAGGAATACTGAATGGCCTTAGCTAGTAGTCACTGTAGTTAGTGTAAGCTAGATGTTATGATTGAGGTTTTGGTAGCATTTGGCAATGAATTTTTATGTTAGCTTAGATTCTAAATTCCCAAATCTGTTTCAGTAATATGCAGATTGCAAACTCTTTGAGCGTGCTAATTCAGCAGGCAATTTATAGCTAGGTAAGAATACTAGGGGAATTGATACTTAAACCAATAATGCCATCACTCAGCCAATTCTTGACTTAGCATAGCAATGGTCAAACTGTAATGGAGCCTTACAAGTGCTATAAAGCCACCAAAGCATGAAGCAAATTTAAGCAAATTTCTTCGCACGAGTTAGAACACAACACAGGCTCTGCAGACTCAACTTACAGGTCGAGCTGCCCCAAAGGTATAGCTCCTCTTTAGTGCTATTTACTTCATGCACAGTAACAATAGAGTAGAGCACCCAGCTCTCATACCTTTTGAATGAATTGCATTCGCATATGGTGCAGTGTCATAGTGAAAATGTTTTTTTTTTTTTATCTGGTGGATATGCAATTCATATATCAATATAATTTTTTCGTTAGAGCCTTTTTGGCTCCACCAGAACAATAAGAAGGGTTTTTAAATTATAAGCAATTTTTCAAAATGTATGGTAAAATTGTGTACAGGGCAACTTTGAAATATTACAGTTTTTTATAGAATTTTTACTTAGGAGCTTAAACTCTTAACTCGGGCGTATTTTCAACTTTGATGGAAGCTGCCCCTGGAAAAATGAAAAAAAAAACTTTGGAAATAGATAAGCAGCTTGGAAACTGGGGCAAATGGACACTAAGCATTGCCTGAAGGAAGTTTATACGAGCTAGCCTTTGAAAGCAATGTCTAGTTGGCTCTTCGTTTTGCCCATATAGGCCTGCAGTTTGATTTACATGGTATATTTACTCAAGTAAATGGAATTTCCAGGGAAAACTAATAAAATGGCGAACAGGATCATGGCGCTTATTGTCGATGATAACTTGTTGAATCAAAGGATTCACAGCACACTTTTAAACAAACATGGCATAGAGACAGAGGTGATGGGGAACGGGAAGGAAGCTGTGGATGCCCACTTCTCAGGAAAGAAATTTGACTTGATACTGATGGATAGGGATATGCCGGTCATGAATGGTATCCAGGTATATGAATACAATGTTTTACCTAAGTAATTTATCTTCACATTTTGATAAAGATTCTCGAATATTGGAAACTTTGCTTCATTCGATGATAGGCGACGAGGAAACTCAGAGAAATGGGCGTACGCAGCATCATCGTGGGCGTATCATCACACTCATCGGAACAAGTAAAAGAATTTATGGAGGCAGGTCTCAATGACTACCAAGAGAAGCCTCTGACGTTAACTAAGCTCACCTCTATTCTACAAAGATGGAACCTCAGTCTTTGACCCTTTAGAGATATTTCCATGCCCATCTATATCTCTTCATCTACCAATCATTGATCCACTTCTACTACTTCAGTTATACCTGCACTGTTTGGTCAAATGCTCTGTGCTACAGATAATATATCTAGAATCCTAATGTCTCAGTCTACTTATTTTGCCGATCATTTTATATATACAATAACAAATTAGTTTATGATCATGAATAACAAATAAATAAACAAGGTAACAATATGTGTAGTATAAATATGTCTATGTTATAAAAACAAAGCAAATATTTTGTAACTTGATGATAAATGAATAATGTATATATGAATATCAGTCAATACCAATACTGCACTTTTCAAAAATAAAAAAACCTAATACTGTAGCTTTGGGTTATCTCTAATAGCATATAGGTATTTGGATAAGGAATTTATACAAATTTGAAAAGAAAAAAGGTTATGTACCGGAGGGGAACACCTAGAGGAACAAGAATCTGGAGAGGGGCAATAGGAAGGGATTGGAGAATGTTAGGAGAATGTAACACAAGTAGTCACACTTTTCGTAAGTAACATTCCAAAGAGAGTGGATGGGAGCTGGTTGCAGAAATTGTTTGAAAGACTATAGTGAAGTGCTTGAGGTGTTTGTATCGCCAAGGAGTAAGGGATGGAGCAAACTCGGTTTCATCCATTATGCAAGCATGCAGGAAGCTAGAGCAACAATATACAGACTCGATGGAGTTTGGCTGCTAAATTGCATACTGGGCCTCAACTTGGCTTGCCATAGCCGCAAGAACATTCCCACGTGGGGGGCAAAGGACGCATGGGACATGGCAACAAGCGGGGAGAAGGATGAAACAGTGACCGCTTAATAATATCAAAGATCGAAAGTAAAATATTTAAATGAGACCCTTTTATTGAAATTAAGGAAATTTTTTTTAAAGTTTTGAATAATCAAATTCATATTTTTGATTTGACATATTCAAATATTTATTATGAAGTATAAAAAATATTTAACTATTATGATTATTTTATATTTTTTTAATGATTAATATAAAATCAACAATTAAAATTTCTAATTTAAATAAATTAACTACTACATAAAATAAAAACAATACAATAATATAATATAAACTCTAAACTAAAGTAAAAAAGTCTACAAATATTAGAACAATAGTACCTAATTGTAGAATACTTGTTGCAAATCGTAAATGAGGCTTACAGTTTTATGAAGATAATAGCATAACAAACTTTCTGCGTATTCTTTGAAAAAAATATGAAGTTTAAGGAAGAAAAATGTAAGAGTGGATATTATAAATTGAAAAAAAAAAGATAGTTGGGAAGATAACTCTTTATATAGAGTTATCTTATGCATCTTTGGAACCTAAAATTGAGCTAAGTCCTCTAGTTTTAAGTAATCCATAGGTAATTTATACTTAGTAGTAGTAATTTAATTTATGTCATGGCATTTATCATTTATGCAATTTCGACGAATTTCTTGTTAAAATCACTCATTTGGTAAAGGATGGGTGCAAGTAGCATAAGAAAGGCGTTTGAACATGCTACAATATTTTGAGCATAACTCAAGCTACAAAACTCCAATCATTAGGATTCTTAGATTTACAGAAAGCTAAGAGAAAGAGCCACAACTTTGATGTTTAAGACTTCACCTAGTTCAGAAGGAATCTTTGTTAAAAAATATGGAGGAAGTTGATTAACTGCAGCAAACTGCAGTCAATATTGATAGAAGCTTGGGTGCTTAGGCACCCAACTCTTAGCGCCCAGGTGTCGAATGCACTATCTAGTATGTTAAAACAAGCCACAAAACAGAATGTTGGATGCCTAGGGACCATCCTTTGGGAGCCAGGCATGGACACATAATTTTGCACTTTTTTGACCATTGGATTTTACATCAAATGGCCATTAAAAGGGGTATAAATATAATCATATTTTTAGGTTGAATAGGAGCATCTTGAGGAGCAACTTCAGAGGCAAAAAGGAGCTTTCCACAAGGAGAAAACAAGAGGAAAAATCTTAAAGAAAGGCTTGACAAAGCTGCACTAAAAGAGTTTTCTCTCACTAGCTTTATTTTTCTCTCTCTAAATCTCACATATTCACTAGTGGGAGTTTCTACCCCTGTTGATCTTATGGCTCAATTGCGCCTACCATGACCTCTTACTGTAGGCATACGTGGCCTAGTAATAATATCCATGGGAGCATCTAATCTACGGCATCTACCACGGCATCTCCCTATAGGTGTATGTCATCTTATCATAGTCTTAATGAGAGCATCTGTCTCTACCACATCTTCCACAATCCTTAACATTGGGCATCTATAGTCTAGCTACAACATCTATGAGAGTTTCATGCTCTATAGCATCTCAAGAAACTGCTCAAGTTTTAAACAACATACTCGTCAAAATATGAGTATACACACATGGCAAATTCATTTTAAGTGTCTCATGACAATACTAGACACATACATGGGTGATGTCAACATTTCGAAACTAAGCTTGGAAGACAAACAAGGAATCATATGTAGGTTTCCTGTTTTCGATTTGTGCTTGGATACACAAAGCAAAAATAAGATTGCTGCATATAACTACGACACTCCGTGACACAACTAAGAAAAGCTTAAGACTTTTACAACTTAGAAAAGCTTAAGACTTTTACAACTTAGAGCTCTGATACCAACTTTATCATATTCAATTTTTAGGAGAGATAATGACTGGTGCATGAACCTACGTGGGTATAGCCCATTAGGCCCAACCAAGCCTAAATCAACAATGCATGGGTAAGTCATCCATCGTATTCACATACATTTTCATTTACAATTAAGAATATGTGATAACTATATTATATAGAGTTATTTTGACTCATTTTGGGAGCTTAAGTAGCTAGATCTTTGAGATTTTAGGTTCGAATTTTAGCATTTTAGGTGTTTTTTTTAGTTTAAGTTTGATTACTTGTTAAGTGATTAATTTAAGTTATTTTAGTTAAATTTTAAGTTATTTTATTTTAAATTACTTTAAGAGTAGTTATTGCTAATTTCTCTTATGGCTTTTGTAGGAAATTGATGAAAAAGACTCATTTGATGAAAATCAGTGCAAGTATGGTGATAGCTTCATTCGTATATATTTCGTTCTGATTGGATCATGGTCAAAATATTTGTCAAAGTCGGAGCACTGCAGCAGTATGTAAAGACTGAACATGATGCGGTATTGGGAGAAATTATTTCAATCCAGAAGTCCAATTGATGTAATTCTTAATCCATTGGAAAGTTAAGAGACAGAGATAACTTTTATGTTTACTACTTTGCCCAGTTCCTAACATATCAGGGTGAAACTACGTTTGAAGTTGATAGACTGCCACAGCGCTGGGAGAACAAGGCTGCAGCGTTGATGAAAGGAAGCACACATACAAAATTCTAGAGAGCTCAGCGCTGCAGCGCTGGAGAAGTAGCGCCGCAGCGCTGCGCGACTTTCCTAAAAATAAGGGAAGTTAACGGGATTTCGAAAATTAGGTTATTTGGAGCCTATTTAAGGAGCCTTTTTCAGAGATTTTGGGGGGAGGCAGCAAGCAACTATTCTGGAGATTTGAAGCCAAGAACAAAGCAAGGAAACAAGAGAATTGGAGAGAGAATCAAGATCACAATCTCTAACTATTAGTTTTCTCTCTTACCTTTGTGTTTTTCTTATTTTCTTTGACTTGCATTCATGGCTACATTTCTTTGGATATTGTTTTTATTAGATCCTATGAACTAATTATTTTTCTAGGATTGCAATTGAACTCACATGTAATCTAATTTTTAATCTCTTTCTTGCTTTTTTCAATGGGATTTGAATTGTTTATTCCAATTTGTTCTTAATGCTTTTAATTGCTTGGCCACCAATTAAATTGATCTAGAAACCTAAACAAACTTGGGAAAGGGAGTTTAGTGTAGACTAAAATTGGGATAGCATATGATATATTAATTGATTTGCCTATAGGATAGGGATTACCTATAGGCCATATGTAGCCAGATTAGAGCCTGAATGAATGAGTCTATTTCTAATTTCAATTCACATAGGGATATAGTGTTTTAGTTAAAATAGATATTTTCATAAGATGAGGCGGGAGATCCTTATAAATAATTTAGGACTCTAGGTTAGCAATTCAACCCATTGAAATAAAGTTAGAAAGAGAGGTAAGATTTAGATGAAGTGTGAGGATATTGTAATCCTAGGCTTGTTTGATTTGCTGTTTGCCCAATTATCTTATTGCTTTAATTTGTAATCAAATTAGTTTAGTTGCTTAATTTTTAGTTCAATTAGAATTAAGATTTTATATTGTGAATAAAACTAAATTGTTTTAATTTTAGTACTTAATAAAATTTTAGATCAATTCCTTGTGGGATCATACTTGCTTGCTAATATACTATTTATTCGATACATATACTTGCGTAGTAGAATTTTAACTGAAAATATGTAATAATTTATCATGGCCACTACATTACGAAACTTCTCAATGGAGGGGATTCAAATTAAACAGATGAAATAGAAAAGATCTGAGTGAAAGGAAAGAAAAAAAACAAAGAGCAACCCCCACTTTCACTTTAAAAAGACATACTACAATAATAGCCCGGTTTCTGAAACTTCTTATCTATATAGGCACCAAGAAAATTTGAAATTAAAAATATTAAAAAGCAAAAGATAAATATTTATTACGGTTTGAAAAACCTCTTGTGACTTTTTTTTTATTATAAATGAAGGAATCAACCTTTTCGATATATAAAAAGTGACCAATTTGAAAATGCTATAAAAATGAAATGTCACAATATTTTTTATACATGTCAAAGTGATGTAAAATGTGATTTCTATCACGTTTCATATAAATATTCACAATATTATATCAATTGTGGTCTAGCACACATTTCATGCCTATTTTGCTATGATTCATTCACCATAGTCTTAGCGTTAACATACACCCATATCTAGGGCTCAGCACAATGTGCGGAAGCATAAACAAGTAAATCAATTTTTTTTTACATAACAAAGTTCACTATCAGCATAACTGTTGAAAGACTTGACTCAACACATTGCAAAGTGTAACATCACTAAAGGGTTGAAA